TGCCTGGTCTCGGGTCCAGTGGATCGGTACCTTCTCTGAGATGCGGTGATACTTGGTGGCGGTTGTAGAAAAGACAGAAGGTCGACGGGCTGGCAACAGGGGCTATTGCTACAGTCTGAGAGTGGAAGGATGAGCAAGGGCCTGAGCAAGCCGTGGGGACAGAGGCGGGGCAGGCTCTGTCATTTCTGAGAAACCTCTGATCGCACCTGGAGATTTAGCGGATGTGCAGGGGAGAGAGAGACAAAGGCAGACAATGGATGCTCTAGAAGAAGATCATCTGGAAGCCAGGTAATCCTGGGTTCGAATCCAAGATCCACCTGCTGTGTGCAAAGTAACCTCGGACCTTCATGCAGCATCTGCCTCTCAGAGGTGTGACACAGAGACCAGTGATGACATGCTTGGCGTGTCTGACATACAATTCCTTCCATATGATGTAAGCTCTGCGTATTGGGAAAAGGCTGGCCTGGAGAACGGAAACGATCGCTTCAGTGCAGTCAGGTTGTGCTTGAGGTGCTGCTTGTAGCTTGTTCCGGCAGAGCTGTCTGATGGGAAGCCGGAAACACAGACTTGGAATTGTGGAGAGATGTAAGGGCCAGAGAATCCAGGTGACAATTGGCCGCTAAAGCACTGAGATGGATTCTTTAGATTTCCCGGAAAGGGAAGAGAAGGGAGATGATTTCTAGGACGATCACGGTAGAAGAGGCTGGAGAGGGATGAAAAAGCAGCAGCAGATATTCCGGATCGAATTCTTCCTGCTGTGAACGCACTGAAAGGCATGGTAGGGGATCCCTGCTCCCGGGTGCCTTGGGAAGTAGCTGTGAGGCAGCCAGGAGACCCGGGCACTGGGCAGCCCCGCAGGAGGAGGCTCGGAGTTGCTCATACCTGCTCCGGCCCTTGGGCAGATGTGGAGGAGGGGGAGTGACCTGAGAAGTCAAAACACCTTTTCTACAGCCAGATGCCACTGACTGACATGGCCCCTCACATCAAACTCCTCGTGAAGGCTGGGAGAGCTTTCAAGTGGCCGCATCGGCACTCAAGGGTGATCGGTCGCATCTGCACAGAACAGATGGAGCCCAGCTTCATCCAGGCCTTAACGTGACTCACGATGCTCTTGCAGACGAGATAAGGAGACAAAGAAATCATACACAGTATCATTTCAAATGTGCTTCGAGATGCTACGGTAGATGGTACAGTTTGGTGTGCTCGTGTCTGATTGAACCCAGGCTTTGGGGAAAAGTCACTCCCACTATCATGACCCCAGTCCTGCCTTTCAGTTCTGGCTAGACTGGAGCATGTCCAACGGTACAAGATAAGAGCTCATGACACACGGAATCTAGGTCAGATACGCCCTCTGGAACAGAAATGGGAGTAGTAATACCAGGAGAGTAGGGGGATGGTGGGAGGAGGGGGGGAGAGAAGCTGATATCAATGATTGCATTGATGGACACAAAACCCTCCCACCCCACCCCGCCACACACACCCAGGGAGATGAACAACACAAACGTGGGTGAAGGGAAACAGTGGTTGGTATAAGATATGAAAATAATAATACTTTATCAAGGTGTCACAAGGGTGGAAGATGTGGGGAGGGAGGGAGAAAAAATAAGCTGATACCAAGGGCTCAAATAGAAAGTAACTGTTTAGAAAATGCTGATGACAACATATGTACAAATATGCTTCATACAATCGATGTATGGAATGTTATAAGAGCTGTAAGAGCCCCCAATAAAATGATTTTTAAAAAGCGTGTGGAAAAATTATTTTAGTTCTATTTTCCCATACTTTTGAAGCCTCCTCCCTAACCCCCACCCGCAGGGAACAAACAACAGAAACGTGGGTGAAGGGAGACAGTGGTCGGGGTAAGATATGAAAATAATAGTGTATATTTTATCAAGGGGTCACGGGGGGATGGTAGGGAGGGGAAAAAAAGGAGTTGATATCAAGGGCTCAAAAGAAAGTAAATGTCTAGAAAAGAATGATGGCAACACATGTACAAATATGCTTCATACAATTGATGTATGAAATGTTACAAGAGCTTTCAGAGCCCCCAATAAATGATCTTTTAAAAAAAAGGCTAGGGGTTCATGACAGTGTCTCTAGGCCATGGGCTTATCCCATTGTACCATGTCTAGCAACACTTGGATGGGCAGGCAGGACACCTGTTTAGCACATCTAGAGGTGGCACAGGGCTAACAGGAATAAGGAATACGTCAGACGCCAGAATCACTGTGTTTTACAGAGTGAGTTCAACACGTTGGCCAACAACAACACGACAATGTACTGGGGGATCGATGTAAAGTCCTGCCACTGGGTTCAACACACCAACCACATCCCAGAGTGTACAATCAAGACCCGAGGGCGTGGCTGGCCGCAAGCTGCGGCGTGACAAACAGTCTGAGCTCATTCAGAAGCAGCTAGCTCCATCTTCGACTCTAGTCACGGAAGCCCAGGAGGTAATGGCTAGGTAGACCACATTTGGAATATTATGTGTAATTCTGACCGCCAGATTGTTCAGAGGGAATGTAACACGTTAGTGTGTTCGGGCAAGGGGAACTGTGGAGATGGATCTGGAAATCACATTTACCGGGGCCTGATTCAAAGAACCAGACATGTTTGGCCCGGCTAAAAGAAGGCTTAGAGAATATATCGAAACTGCCTTCCAAATAATTGTACTATTGCTGTACGGATGAGATGTGAATAAGTTGTGATGCCCCAGAGGGCAAAAGGCGGAAGGTGTTAAGGACGGATTGTTTTCCGCTTCACCGGAGAAACTTTTTGTCTCTCACAGAGAGAAGGAGCCCCGACTGCTCTTGGCGGTCACCTGAGTCTGGAGGACTCTTGAGGTAGGTAAATAGAGAAACTAGCAAACCGCCTTCTAACCCGTGCTTTCATACAGATGCTGGCGCCAGCCCAGGGTGTCAAAGGGCAGTTGGGGAGTGGTTAGCCAGTCACCTCAGCTGGGGGCAGGAGAAACAGAATGGGCCGGATGTTGGCCGATCCAGATTTTTGCTTGATTCTCCTGAATTAGAAACCACCCAACGAATCACTGTTAAACCCATAATCTCTCACTAGCAAAATAAACACAAAAACTACTGCCGTAATTTAGCAGCATCTCTATGCTGTTCAAAGGCTTTCTCTTCGGGCAAGACCCCAGAAAATGCCAGGGGACTTCACAATGAGAATTTTCTGATCTGTGTATTAGGTCTTCCTGATCACTCTTGGTCAAAAAAAAAAAAAAGACTTCTTCATGTGATTATGAAATTATATCTCACATATCACCTCTTTTAATACATTTCAAAATTGTATAACATAACACGTTCTTATTTATAAAACTGAGCAAGGGGGCACATTGTGACACTTTTCTCCCTTTCAGCATAGCTAGGACTTGATGGTGTCCAGGTCAGCTTTGACATGCAGATCACATCTCTGATCAAGGGCAGAGGGAAGGCTCCCCAAGGCAAATGGAGGCCTACGGAAGGGCTGCTTCCTTTCATCGGAGAACAAGCCCATCCCTCCCCAGGGACTTACATGTCCTGGTGGCTCACTGAGACGATGCTGCGAGGGTCTGAAACAACTCTTCCCGAGAGGAAGAGAGCCAGGATCTGCAGGGCATGTGTGCAGCCCTTGAAAGATCAATGGGAACCTGAGGCTTTCTGGGCCTGTCGCGATCACGCATGGTAAGGGTGCTGGAAAGAGCACCTCCTCTTAGCTTTGAAGTCTGAGGAAATTTAGTGTGAATAAGAATCCCCAGTGTACAGTCTGGCAGGTAGAATGTTCATTATTACCCAGAATTCCCTAGACTTATGTGAAGAGGCCTTAAAAAAAAAAACCCCAAAACACACCTTCGATGGGATGCAGGAAGTTCAGGAGAAACTGGGGATTTGTTTCATACATGAATGAGACTCGGGCATCTCCTGAAGCTGCACAGATCCTCAACTTCCATCAAGGAACACCGCTGATGGCCCTTCCACCCAGGTCCTTGGGGCCACGGCCAATGTAGCTGTGTTGGCCAAGGGTCCAAGGCAAGTGTGACCCTCCTGGCCATTCTTGCACCTGCCCCGGGCCAGATTCCACAGCTGTTCCACTGCTATGGAGTCCCCAAGTGCCTGCCACCTCTGTCGCCTCGCGTTGTACTTTACCAGTAAACTTCAGGCTGTGTCCTTCTCTCCCATCTCTACACCGTGTCTGTCTATCTCTCCTCCCTCCCCACTGGGCCAAGTCCTCACGAGCCTACCTGGGCCTTGCGCTTGACTTTCCTGGGTAAGCCCTCTTCTTGCTTATTATTTCCCACTTCTCCTTGATCGGCTCCTCCCTGCCCCCCCCCACCACCCCGCCCCCCAATCTCATTCCCCGCAGGGACACTCTAGGGAAACACGGTGCAGTGCGCACCTCTTCCTCTGCTCCCGCCCCTCCTGTTGGCTCGGCCTTTGGAGCAACCCAGTACTGTCTGGCTTGCCTTGGGTCCACCCTTCACACACAGGACCTTGCTCCTCCCCAGGCCCTCATTCCACTCTCTTCTTCCAACTGAGGTTGCCGGATCTTTTGCCCGGGACCCTCCTGACCTGGTCTTTCTGCATGCCCTCATATTCTCATCCCCGCAGCCATTTCCTGCTTCACTCGCTAGCTAAGCCAATCTTGCGTTGACAGAGGCCCTGCCACACGCTGTGATGGGCGACGGGTCAACAGGACAGACGCCCAGGAATCTTGACTTGGCGGTCACGATGGGAAGAAATCAGCGTGAGTGTATCTCACAGTGCTCTATGAGCACGCGGAGGGGACAGTGTAGACAGAGAGGCATCAAACGTCCCTCTCTAACCGCGTGGGTGTACAGTGGGGGCAGGCACGCTGGAGATCATACTTAGGTAGGAGAGTCTGTAGCCTCATTCACAAATAGGCCCTCATGTAGCAGTAAGCAACTCAGTCTTTACGAGACTATAGGCCAGGGCATTTTCCTCTGGGCCTGGGCGGGGCCTGGGCGGGGCCGGGGCTGGCACACGCACCTGGGTGCCCGGGTGGTTGATGTCGATGGCGTCGCTCCAGTCGGTTACTTTTCCCGGCAGCTCCACTCTCAGCAGCAGGCTCGGCAGCAGGTCTTTGGTTCTGCAGTCTGGGTAACTGCAGATCTGATGGTACAGTTCGTGATGAACTGAGCACTCTGGGGGGATTCTTCTGCAGTAAACCTCAAACTTTGGGGTATCTGCAAGCGAAAAGGAAAAGAGCAGCCACGAAGAGTGAGCCTTGCAGACAAAGATGGTGGCATCACACGTAACTCAGTGAGCCAAACTTCTCAAGGTGGGACGATGGATCCTTCTATTTAAACACTCTTCATGGGATCACAGGTAACTCACAACAGAAACTTCCAGAGAGAATCTCTGGTTTGTCTTATTTTACCGTAAAATACCTTTGATATTTTCCTTGAGAAGCATGGTTACTGGGCACTTGTTATGGAAAATTATCCGAGGACTAGGGTCTTCTGAGAGGGTTAAGTACGTCACTCCAAAGTGCTCTTGACATGTCAGTGTTATCGCCCTAGAACAGAAGCAATGACAGCGCTGGTTTAGAAATAACGGATGCTTTCTCTCTTGGTACATGCATGTTTGAATTTGCTAACTGCCTATACTACAGGCACGGATCTGTTTCCTGATCAGAGGGGTCATGTAGATTTACACACTACACGATGTAAGATTAAGGAAAGGAAAGTGCTCCTGGACTCCTACCTCGTCAGAACCACACGAACCTTGTGCTAGCCTTTCCCTGACCTTTCTCCTCTCCTCTAGGTTCTATTTTTGTTTTTGAAGACCATTTCATTGGGGGCTCTTACAACTCTTAGAAAAATCCATACATCAATTGCGTCAAGCATATTTATACATATGTTGCCATCATCATTTCCTAAACATTGGCTGAGCCCTTGGTATCAGCTCCTCTTTTTCCCTCCTCCGCTCCTCCCAACCTTGTGACCCCTTGATAAATGATAAATTATCATTTTCATATCTTACACCAACTGTTGTCTCCCTTCACCCACATTTCAGTTGTTCACCCCCCTCGGGGTGAGAGGTAGGTTATGCATCGATCGCTTGTCCTAAGCTCTAATCTGTACCACTGGACATGCTCAGGTCTATCTAGAACTGAAAGGCAGGGCTTGGTTCATGATAGTGGAGGGTGAGGAAGCCTCAATGAGCCAGAGGAATATTGTAATTCATAAAAACAGAGATATTGGCCTATATGCCTATTTTTATATGGCAATATATTGAGGAAGTAGGCAGACTTTGGGCTTCTGCTCAAGGCCTCCCTCAACACAAGAACATTTTTTTCTATCAACCTGGCATTCTGTGATGCTCACCCTCCTGACATGATTGTTGAAGACAAAATGGGCACATAAGCAAATGTGGTGCAGAAAGCTGATGGTGTCAGACTATCAAAAGATCTGGGATCTTAAAGGCTTGAAGATAAACAAGCAGCCATCTAGCAGAGAAGCAACAAGCCCACATGGAAGACGCATACCAGCTTGTGCGATCATGAGGTGTGGACGGTACCAGGTAACAGGCATCAGAAGACCCAAAACAACAAAAACATATTGTTGAGAACAAGGGAGGTTGAAGCAGAGACCCCCGAGCCCATCTGTAGACAATAGGACATCCCCTTACAGAAGGGTCACAAAGAAGGGATGAGTCAACTAGGGTACAGTATTATACGGATGAAGCACACGGCTCTTATTCCTCAAAGTTTCTAAGTAAATTTTGGCAGTGGTGGTGCTGACATGCTTTAGGACTCGAGGAGTTAGGGTGAACTCTTTTTAATGCTAAGGATACCTTGCTGTTGCTGTTCGGTGCCATCAAGCCGGTTCTGATCCACAGAGACTCCACATACGAGAGAGCAAAGCCATGTCCAGTCCTTTGCGGTCCTCACAATTGTCACGATGCTTAAAGCCACTGTTGTACATGCTGCTGTCAAACCACTTCAGGGTGCCTTTCTCTTCCCCACTGCACCAAGTGTGCTGTCCTTCTCCAGGGACTAGTCTCTGCCGATGCCAGGTCCCAAGTCGATGAGGCAGTCTCGTCCACATTGCTTCTAACGAGGCATTGGCTATTCTTCAGGACGGACCCATCTGCTCCTCTATGCTCCCTGACAACACCGCAATTCAAGAGCATCAAGTCCTCTTCTGTCCCCTCTTCCTTCTCCAGCTTTCCCACACTCACAAAGCCGCTGAAATATACGACGGTGTGGGTCAAAAGCAGCTTGGTCCTCCCTCAAAGTGATCTCTTTGCTTTTTCACACCGGAAAGAGGTCTCCTGCAGATTTTCCCAATACAATATGTTGATTTCCTGACTGTTGCTTCCACAGGCATTTGTTATAGGTCCAAAAGGAAAAAAAAAAAAATCCAAGAAAACGCCCACCTTTTCTCTACTGTGCCTAATGGCTGTATTTGGTCCGTTTGTGAGGATTTCGGTTTATGCTGAGGTAGGCTCCACACAGAAGGCTCAAGTTTTCCCAGCTTCCAGCAGCAAGGTTGTGTCATCTTGCAGGCTGGGAACAAGATTTCCTCCAGTCCTGACGGTGCACTCGTCTTCGTAGTCCCGCTGCTTGGACTCGCTGCTCAGTCTACGGATGGATTAAGTCTGCTGAAAAGACACAACCTTGAGGCATAACTTCCCTGATTTTAAATCATGCAATGTCCTCCTTCTGCTCAAATGACTGCCCACTGGTCTCCGTACAGTTTTCACAGGAGCATAATGAAGAAAGAGTTCTGGAATCCCCATTCTTTGCAGTGTATCCATGGCTTGTTATGATCCACACAGTCAATGCCTTTACAGTCCATAAAAAACAGCTAATCGTCTTTCTGCTAGTCTTGGCTTTCCATCAAGATCCGGCTGATATTAGCTACGGTATCCCTTCCTCTACAGTCTTTTCTGAATCAGCTTATAATATTTGTCGTCGAGTTTCATGAGGGGATTATATTTTATGGAGTACCCACTTTGGCTATCGGGAAGAAAGATGTATTATCTACAACTATAGAAACTGTTGTGTAGAAACAGGCTGCCCTTGATGACAGGTAAGTTTTCTGATTTAGACTGCCAGATGACCACACAATTTCTTATCAAAGCAGGAAAAATAAAACCCTCTCTGGCATACGTGACATGGACTGATGGCTCTAACTTATCAAGGAAACTGGATATCTGTCAAATGTAGTTCCCAGTTTACACTGAACAATGGGAGTCAAGCATGCACTCAGTGTCCCGAACAGCCCTCTATTTGCAGGTCACTGTGGCAGGTGTGAGAACTTCCCCCAAACTGTCCTTGTCTCAAATGCCCACGTGAATGGTCAGAAGCATTTGGGGAAACCACGTAAGTGACACCGTTCCATGTGTGCTGTCGGGTGGGAGGAGGAAGGAGAGGAGGTGATGGGGCAGGAGCAAGTACATTCACTTTTAGAGGACGATCCTTGGACTAAAACCAAAGTTTCCCTCCCAACTGAATTTTGAAGAACTGGGCAAGCCAACTTGAAAGAACTAGGGGCCAGGACTAGTTCAGCTTACTTTCAATGAAATTTTAAGCTTAATACTTATAGGAAGGGTTAAATTTTAGTAATAAACCACCAGTCTTTGAATTCTTAAGAATTGTACACCTGATACCCAGAGTGGGATATTCTTCCAAAGGCCGCTGTCCAGGCTAAAAAGTAAATTTTATTTATCAACATAA